AAAAAAAAAAAAAAAAAAAAAAAAATCTGAGAACCTACGTTAGATGTGCATTTGGAGAAAGGTAGTTGATATTGGACGTTGACTTTCTATTTAAACTTGACTTTGTAATTGACGGGTGAATAATTTTTTTCAATTTAATATTATCCAGTCCTTTGGTATTTCCCCTTTATTGTCAGTAACAACAAACAGTATTTAGAAGCAGTAAGATGGTCCCCAAAAACATTTACACCAAAAGTTTGAAATATTTTCATTGTGCTGCTTCAAATGATAGAGTGTAAAATACTAATTTAATTTTCCTTGCTCCAATTTCTTTCAAAGAACTCATGCTACTCATTTCCAGCTAATCAGAATTATTCATACCTGTCTGACCCAAATTGTACATTTTAGTGCATAAATTTGTTTATTCATTTTTTGCCTTTTGTAGGTACTGTGTTGATTATTTAAAATGGCTACATAATTTTATGTACTAGATAAAATGTTCTGCGATACATGTAAGTAAATAAAATGTTCATAATTGTGTATGCTACTTTCCCTTTTATTGACATTAATTGTTTGGATTTCAGAGCATGGGTGAGACTGCACCTTTAGTGGTTCTTATAAGTTAAGGCCAGGAAAAATTAAATAAATGCTATATTTTATTATTTTGAAGCAATTGTGCAGGTGACAAAACTAATTGACTAGATACAATAATGGTAAAGTGAAACTGGGAGAAAACTACTTTGTTGTTCTAATACATCCAAATGACCTTTCAGAGAGGGACAATGTTTATTGTAACTTTTTCTTTCTAAGGATATAAGGAAATAGAAACATCTGTGAGTGGGGTTTTTGTTTTCTTGGTTTGTTTTTGTTGTTTTTTGTTTTTTTGCTTTTGCTTTGTTGCGTGGTACTGGAGATTTAACCCACGGCCTCCCACATGCCAGCCAAAGTGCTACCATTGAGCTACATCCCCAGTTCCAGTCAGTGTTATTTTAGATTCAGGAATATAATCAGATTTTTACTAGATGATTGGATATTCAATGAAAGATACCTCCACTTTCAGAAATTTGTTTTTTTCATAAGAGTGTATACAAGATCAAAAACTTTATAGAAGTCTAGGATTTGGGGGTTTTTTGAGATAGGGTCTCACTATATAGCCCCAGCTGGCTTCCTACTTGAAGCAATCCCCCTGCCTCAGCCTCGAGTGCCGGGATTACAGATGTGCATCACCACGACCAAAAAAGTTTACTTCTTTAAAAACAAGCCATATAGCTGCTGGTATCATATATTATAATCAGTCCGGTAATATGTAACAAAGTGCAAAATAGTAACAGAAACTTAAATAAAGTTACTAATTTTGTAAAAACAATAAAAATAGAATTGACCAATGAGATGAGTATGTAGTTCACATATTCTGTGATGTTATATTTTATTTTTAAATATTTAAAATCTTTTAGATGCATGTAATAAATAAAATGTTGAATCAAAAGAATAAAGAAATTATAATTGTTTAAAAGTCTACAAAATTGCACACACACAAAAATAGAAGTGTACAGCTGGACATAGTGGTACATACCTGTGGTCAGGGCAAGAAGATTGTGAATTCAAGTTTAGTCCTGTGTTTGATTCAGGGGTTCTAAGAACTATTCAGATAATACCAATTTGATGCATTTAGTGTGTTTTCTATTGTTTTAAAGTGAGTATTAAACTTTTATAGGTATTGTTGAAGAGTAAATTTATTCACTTTTTAGAGTGAACTATCAACAGTGAATTACTTTTTCCTGAATTTCTGTATATTGGTTATACTCTGTAATAATTTTTTTGTAACAGTTTCTAAATATTCTATTCCCAAACAGTTACCTGACCTTAAAGATGCTGAAGCTGTTCAAAAATTCTTCCTTGAAGAAATACAGCTTGGTGAAGAATTACTAGCTCAAGGTAATAGTCATTACAAGACTATGGAACTAGATAGAATTCTTCATAGCAACACATGTTTATGAAACTGTAATAAGGGGATTTTCCTGTGTAGTCTGCCTCTTAAGAAAGGGTATTCTGGGGCGGGGAATTTAGCTCAGTGGTTCTGGCACCTGCCTCACAAGCACAAGGGCCCGAGTTCGATCCCCGGTACCAAAAAAGACAGAAAGGGTATTCAGAACATTTCAAGACAGGTTTTTAGACACTTAATAATGTGTAGATGATTTCATATATGACTGGCTCTAGAAAGCAGTAATCCTTGTGGGTTTTTATTTTCCATAATATATTTTAGGTAAGTTTTAGGCTTTTCTTTTATCATATGATGTAGGTAATGTCATAAATAATTTTTACAAATGAGGATCCTCTTAAATAGTTTAGGATTTATAGTTCTAGCTCAGTGGTTCTACCACCTGCCTGGCAAGCACAAGGTCCTGAGTTCAATCTCTGGTACAAAAAAAAAAAAGTCCTAGAGAAAGTTAATTTACCTAATCAGGGTCACATGGTGAGTTCACAATACCTCATTTCAGAACCAACCATTTATCTGATCCATATTTAAGCCTTTTCATTCTTTTGTGTTTCATTCTATCAACTGTATTAATGGAGTTTGTTGTTGGTTTTGTTTTGTTTGAAGGTCTTAATTGGTTTTATTCACAACTGTGGAATTTGGTAGTGCTTCATACCATAAAATACATTATATTCCCAAGGAGTTTTTGTTGTAAAGATTCCTATTATAATCTGTTAAAGTCTTAAATGTATTTATAAAGCTTTAAGATTTGCTGTCATAAAAAATATAGGCCTAGTTTATCTTATTCTCACTGCCATATGACTAGATTGAGACCAGATTAAACTACATAATGTTAGGGCATTTATGTGTTCTGTTTCTTTTATGGGAAGAGTTGAACCATTTACACATTACCACCAGCTTAAACTACTAGAGGTACACACATGACTGTCCCATGCTACCTGGTGGGACAGCCCAGCAGCAAGACAAACAGATTATGGCCCTGTGTGAATGTGTTACAGTGGTGACCAGCTTTACTTTGTGTCATGTTCCCCTTTCCTAAAAAACAGTTTCTTGACACAGTTTGCTCAATTAATTGCCCCTAAAGAGTCATAAGTGGTCTAGTCTGTATTTCATGTACTAACAAAGATAAAAAAAATGAATAGATCAGTCAAAATATGTTTTAAGTGCAGAAGACTACAAAGTAGATACCAACCAGGCCACATTTCTAGGTGTTTTATGGGATACATACTTTTTTTCCCTTAGTGATCAGAGCGGGGCCCCAGGCACTGGGGAGAGTGAGAGTATGCCCTTCAAGCTAAGGCTTTGCTTTATCCCAAATGGTATTGCTGCTGGGTTTGATCTTCATGTGATGGTTTTGATTCTTAGGAGATAATAGATTCCACATATGATCTGACTGTCTATTTAGTAGAAGTTCTGGCAATACCCATTTTGCATAGGAAGGGAGCAAAAGATGACAAGTTGACTCAAATTGTGTCAGTGTGTCTTGGATATATTCTTCATTTGGGGGTCTTCAGAAAAGGTAATTGAAAGTCCTGATTCAGAAGAAACTTAAGGCCCTTCTTGTGTCAGTTTATAAACACATGCTGCCAGTCTCTCATTTGCCTACAAATTGTACCAATAGTCAGCTGTTTCAGTGCACAGCCTTGGGTAGGTTCTATGAGCATGGGCACCATTATATCATTTTAATAATAATGGATTTGAGTGAGTAGATTGAGACGATAGCTATATACAACCAGGTGACAGTGATCAACAACCAGGAGGTTCTGAGTGTATAGATGGGATGGCCACAATTCCCTCATTGATATCAGAGATTCAGCTGTTTCTGAATGTGGTTGTAAGGTTAAGGAAACCTTTATCAAACTTAGCATAAAAGTTTTTATGTTTTCACGGCAGTGGTAGCACAAGAAACACCATCATATACCAGATTCAGCACCCCCAGAAAAATACATGAGTCATAGTCATGAAAGCCATGCTGTCCTCAGCTTGTTATGTACATGGAGCCTGGTGTGCAGTTATTCCCCTAGATATTTAGCCCCCTGGAGCTCATTGGGATAGTAGGATGTGGTAGTAGTAAGATACTAGCTAGTCTGTAGAGGAGGAAAAGTAAATTAGTGGTAGTGGTATGAAAACATTTCCTTAAGTCATAAATTGCCCTTGTTCAAAAAAAAAAATGGGCTCAGAATACAACAGTTTGTAGTACCTTGATTTGTCTTGTACCACTTGGGCCTTCCGGTGTCATTTACTGTTAACCGTAAATCAGAATTGGTCAACACTTGTGCTGTTTTTGCATTAGAGGATATTTGGAAGTGTAAATGGGTTCTGGAGTTAAGGAGCCCTGGACTTAGTAACCTGAAGCAAATTTCTTAAATTCCTTTAAGCCTCAGTTTCTTCATATGTAGAATGATTAATTCTAGTACCTAACTAAAGGTTGTAGAAGTGATGTGAACCTGATCATAAAAGCCACTAAGAATGATGTCCACTGCGCTTGGTTAAAGTTAGACTAAGATTGAGGATGAAATATTTATGGTATTTGAATAAATTTTTTATAGTCAAAAATTGAAAAGCACTGTTAAACGTTTGATGGTTCTGGCGCCTACCTCATAAGCGCAAGGTCCCAAGTTCGATCACCAGTATAATAATTATTAAAAATATTAATAGACTAATTGCAAATTCTTTTGTTTTCTATTATTGTGGTAATGGAGGTTGAACCCAGTGCCTTTATACTGAGCTACATCCTCAGCTCTTTTATTTTAAGGCAGGGTCTTGCTGAGTCATTATATTGCTGGAGCTGGGCTTGAACTTTTGATCTTCTTGCCTTGGCCTGCTAGAGTGCTAGGATTACAGGGGTGTACCTGTGAATCATGAAATTTTGTTTAGTAAATAAAAGGTACTTTCTTTATAAACATAGATGATGTTATAACAATTAACACGAAGTTAAATTTTTTTTTTTTTTTTTTTTGGTGCTGGGGATCAAACTCAGGACCTTGCACTTGTGAGGCAGGCAGTAGAACCACTGAACTAAATCCCTGATGATATAACAAGATGATACACAAACTACTAACCCTTAATCAAGCAGAAGACAATATATACGCCAAGTTGTGTACTGCACAGATGTTCTGAAAGGGCTAATTTGGAATAAAGGTGATGAAGGCCACTGTTTGGATGGACCAGGCATATTCAGGCTGGTATGGCCCTAGGGCAGGCCCACTGTTCAGAAATCCAGAGTTATAAAGGGCTCATGGACCAAAAGTTTTGAGTTTTGAGGTTTTTTTTTTTTTAAGGTACTTTGATACAGATTTTTTTTCACAGAGAAGATCTATATATACAGTATTTAATTTGAAAACATACTTAATAGTGTAAAATTCTCAGAGAATTTGGAACACATGAAATAATTAACTGAGGATAGTGACCCACGTGGCAGGTACTTAATATTTAATGAATTCAATGAACCTTGGGCCGGGGATGTAGCTCAGCAGTACAGTGCCTGCCTGGCAAGCCCAGGGTCCTGAGTTTGATCCCTGGTACCAATAAAAAAGGATAAATTAAATGAACCTTCAACAACTAAATCTTTCAGAAGTGTGTGTCTGTAGAGATAATCACTGTCTTAACATTCTTTCTCTCATACTTCCATTGTGTAACTTTTTTATGCACACACACATACACCGGGGATTGAACTCGGGACCTTGTGCTTTCAAGGCAGGTAATGGCATCACTGAGCTAAATCCCTGGCCCATGACTTTTTTTTTATTAGTGTCACTTTGGAATTTTTTTATTTCCATGGACTAACATCCAGATAACAAAAAAGTTGGTTTAAAATGAAATTTGGTCTCCTTTTCACCTCAGCTTCCAGCCCAGCCCCCCCCGTGTGTGTGTGTGTGTGTGTGTGTGTGTGTGTGTGTGTGAGTGTGAGTGAGAGAGAGAGAGAGAGAGAGAGAGAGAGAGAGAGAGAGAGAGATGCCTGGGTTTGAATTCAGGACCTTGTGCTTGCCAGGCAGGTGTTGTACAGCTGAGCTAAGTCCCCAGCCCCATCCAGTCTTCTCTCTTGAAGAGTACTTTTCTGTTGCTAGTAATGTTTCACATATATTTTAAAGGTATAAACAATAATGTACTTGGGTGTTTTGATATCTTAATTTCCTTATTATGTATATTGGAGATACTTCCCTATTAATCCCTATAATGTCCATTAATATTTTTGTAATATTTCCAACTTTCTACCTACACAGTGTTTTTGGTCAGCATCACTTGGAGACAGTGACAAGGTGAATTTCTGATGATAGTCACAGCTTTTCAGATTACATGCCGTTTTGTGTAAATTTTTCAGGTGAATATGAGAAGGGTGTGGACCATCTGACAAATGCAATTGCTGTGTGTGGACAGCCACAGCAGTTGCTGCAGGTGTTACAGCAAACTCTTCCGCCACCGGTGTTTCAGATGCTTCTCACTAAGCTCCCAACAATTAGTCAGGTAAGAAGTGTTGTGAAATGCAAAGTGAGTAGGACCTAAGCATTAAATGTTTAGTGACATTTATACATGAGCCTAGTGAACACAGAATGCTGGTTATACCCATGCTTGAAATTTTCTTTTAATGGTGTAACATCTAAACAGCTGGGTATAAGCAGGGCATGGTGGCACACACCTGAAGTCTTAGTACTACAGGTACTGAGGCAGGAGGATCACTGAGTATGAGGCCAGCCTGAGCTATATAATGAGTTCAAGTCCAGCTTGATCTATATATACAACAAGACCCTGTCTCAAAAAATCCAAAACAAAATACCCTGGGCATAATACCTAGTGATTGTGTCCTAGTGGTGACTCAGGAATGTGTGTCTTGGGGTTAGGTCTTAGGCCTTTATGTTCAGGTTCTTAAATTCAGGCCACTCTCATCGTGTTTCTAAAATTAGCTTTTTTTCTACTCTTGTGGGTCACCAACCTTCATTAGGACATGAAGAGCTGACGTGGCATAGATTATACACCAGGTATAAATGAGTGTGGACTCTCAGAATTTTTATAAAGTCTCTTTCTGATCCTGGTGAGTTAGGCTTCAAGTTTGGAGCTGTTTGGCTGCAGTTCCAAATTCTTACACAAAAGTGCAGGATAACATGTACTTAAAAGATTAATTTATGTATAATTTGAATGAATTAACTGGGTATGGTGGCTCACACCTATAATCCCAGGACTTGGGAGGCTGATACAAGAGAATTGCTTTGAGTTTGAGACCAGCTTGAATTATATAGCAAGACACTCAAAAAAACCAGAAAAAAGAAATAGAGTTAATTAAGTATTCTGTTCGTTTTGAATTCTTTCAACAAATCCAGTCTGCTTTTGGAATAGCATGTCTGTTATGTGTGTTAACTTTGCGCGTTTGTGCAGTTGAAAATTAGTAAAATGACAATGGAGAGTGTTTGTAGAATGTTATGATTAGTACCTATTAATTTTTCAAAATTTTTGTAGTTGGCCTTGTATGTGTTAGACAAGCATTATTCGTATCACAGTTCTTTGTTTATGATATTTGAAGATTAGGCTTCATTAGTCCACTTGGTGTTTCTGTGGCAAAATACCTGGTTCTAGGTAATGTATAAAAAAGTTCATTTGGCTAATTACGGTGGCTGGAAAGTCCAAAAGCATGGTGCTAGTGTCTAAGCAAGGTCCCATGGCTGCATCAGGACATGGCACAACAATGGGAAGGGAACTGGGCACATTCACAAAGGGTAACATGCCAATGAGGAAGCCAGGGAACAGGGATGTGCCAGGGTAGCTGCTGATACTTCAGCTGGTTGAGTGCTTTCAGAGCTGTTGCAGTGTGTGATTCTCCAGAGGGTACCCAAAGGGTGCTCAGCTGCTGAGCTACATCTCCAATCTTTTTATTCTTCTTTTATAAGTTGCCCAACCTGGCTATCCTCCGTTAGCCTCCTGAGTAGCTAGGAATCACAGAAGTACACCAGAAGGCCCAGTTTGCAAGAACTGTCCTAATCCCTTTGGAGGATGGTGCCCCCTGTGACCTCTTAAGAGATCTACCACTTCTCAGTACTGCCAAAGCAGGGACTGAATTTCCAACTCATGAACCTTTGAGGGACAAACCATAGCAGCAGCCTGACAGTACTTTGGATAAAGCCTAAGTGCCTCTCTATGAAAACAGCCTCCTTTAATTCAGTTAATTTTATTTACATTCTCTAGAAATGTTTTGAGGACGCTAATTGCAGAATACAATATTCCTAGCCTCGCATAGTGGCACACACCATTATGTAATTCCAGGTATTTGTGAAATTGAGCAAGTTTAAGGCAGGCTGGGCAACTTTGTAAGACTCACTTCAGCTAACAGGCTGGGGATGTAGCTCAGTGATAGACTGTTTGCCTAGCATGCTTAATCCCCTGGATACAGTTCCCAGCACTACAAAAAAGAAAAAAAAGAATATTGTACCGTGTTCCTTATTTAATGGCTTTGAGCCAAAAGGGGGAATGGTAGAGCACAGAATGATTGGTTAAAAACACTAATTGCTGGTCTTAGTTTATGTGGGAGTGATGTTTTAAGTTTTTTTAATTTACATAATTTATGTGTAGCATAATATTATACTGCCTTTGTTAATTTGAATTTTCATATGGGACTGGTAGTATGATCATCTTTTTAGATAAAAACAATGTATAAAGTGTTAATGTTTAAATGTCAGAATGGATGAACTTTAGTAGATTTGACTCTTTAAATACAAAAGAGTTTCTTATTAAACTGCTGATTAATGCTTGTGATACTTTTCAAACTTAAATCTTTATTTTTATCTTTTCAGAGAATTGTAAGTGCTCAGAGCTTGGCTGAAGATGATGTGGAATGAAAAATAAATCTCAACATAATAAAATCTCATAAAGATTTTAAAAATTCTTAGCTTGGAAGTTGAACAGCTGTGGGGGAATAAGGGCAAATATGCTTGTTTATGTACTGTCCTACACTGAAATCTACCAAAGTTAATGTTTACTTTGTGTAGATCCATTTGTCTTTTATTTATTTTTCCCATTGAAAAGTGTATTTTAATAGAGAGCTGTTCATTTTATAAAAACACTATGAGTTACCAAAATACGGATTTTGTTTATTCCTTAGATCTGCAGTTAAAATGTACATACAACATTAAAAAACCCAGTGCTTAGTTTTAAAAGATAAGCAAAAGGGCTGGGGTTGTAGCTGAGTATAGAATGCTTATCTAACGTGCATGAGGCCTTAGGTTTGGTCTCAGCACCACGAAAAAGTGTAGGAGAGTGGTGAATATACATTTAAAGCTAGCACATTTTCTTATAAGTGAGAGTTGGATATTGTGTTTTTGAATAGAGATCCTTTCTTTCCATTTACTCCTTTTTGGCGGGGGGTGGGACTGGGGATTGAACTTGGGTCCTTGCGCTTGTGAGGCAGGCGCTGGAACCACTGAACTAAATCCCCGGCCCTCTTTCCATTTACTCTTAAAGATATGTGGTGTGCTGCTGTGCTGTACTAATGGCTTCATCTCTTCCCTCTTCATCAGTCTTGAGCTGTTTTATTTAAATCAATGATCTTAATGTTTCTGCATATTTATTTCCTTGAAGTATAACTACAAATAGTATTGGGAATTAGATAACACGTACCTAATCGTGACCATATGAGCTTCACTAGTTCATGTCTGCTCGCTCTCATTTATAAAACCAGGGAATCACTTGTGATATTTGATATGTTTTTTTAGCTTCTCATTCTTTTGGTTCTTCTGTGTAATATCTTCAAATTCATCTTTGCCTGAGGAAAGTATTTGGGCAACCAGGACCTGCATTTTTTAAAATACTTTGAATCTTGCATGCTTGCCTGACTTAGTGTTCCTGAATTGATATTTTGATTTTCACTGGAATTAGACAGTTCTGTGACTATGTAAATTTGAAAATTAACCTTTAAGGTAACTGGAATCATCTGCCGTAAAAATGTTTGTTCCCTTTTTGTTTTCATCTTCTGTATATTTCAGATTGATTAATTTATCTGGTACAATGAGAGTGAGAAATTATACTGACTAAAGACTTGAATAGAGTTTGTGGGACCTTTTACTCTCACAGTGACATATTATCTGCCATTTCATAATTGAGTAGTTTCAGAATTGAGAATAAAGATCTTTGGTACTTAAAGGCATCTGTTGGACCAAGCAGTGTTTCTTATTGTATGGATGGCCCGAGTTCTAAGAATCTGGAGAGATACCAGAAAGTTTTCCTGTGTGTTAGACTTCTATTTTGACTTACAGACACACACACACACCCCTACCCCTATACCAGGATTGAACTTAGGACCTTGTGCTTGCAAGGGTAAATATGGTGTGCCACTGAACTAAATCCCCAGACTTTGATTTTTGAGACAAGAGTTTTGCTCTATAGTTCAGGCTCATTTGAGCTCACTGTCTAGCACAGGCTGGCCTTGAATTTGCAGTGATCGATCCTCTTCCCTCAGCCACATACCACCATGCCCAAGCAGACTTTTTTTTTTTTTTTCTTGAGACAGTCTTGCAGTATAGTCCAGGCTGGTCCTGAACTCAGTATGTGGCCCAGGCTGACCTTGAACTCAGAGCAGTCTTGCTGACTCAGCCTCCCAAGTGCTGGGATTAAAGGCCTTTGCCACCATGTCGAGCAGACTCTTTTTGTTTTGGTTTTTTGAGACAGGGTCTCACTATGTAGTTGAGACTGATCTGGAACTCACTATGTAGCCCAGGCTGGTCTCAACTCACAGCGATCCTGATGCCTCAGCCTCCCAAGTGCTAGGATTACAGGCGTGCGCCACCACGCCCGCCAGACTCCTTATTTTTAACCTTGGGTAAGTTGTGGTATGGTGGGAAGTTTGGACTATGGTTCTAATTTTTGCCTCTGGTTAGCTACATATCTATCCCTAGGTTGAATACCCTCACCTGAATTTAATATCAAGTATTTGTTGTCATAAAAACTAGAACATCAAACCAGGAGATGCATCTTTGAGGCCTCTGTCTCTCAGGTGCCTCCCAGGCTTGTGATCCCAAGTCCTTAAACCGATTTCCTCCTGCCAGCGTGGGTTTGGTGGGGACAGCTAGTACAGGCATGCTTGCTATCCGGTTTCACTTACAGGATCCTGGATGCAAAGTGGTGTGGTGAGGTTTGATCAGAGATTAGCCACACAACGAAGCAGTCTTCTACCAGCCAAGTCCTGAGTAGAGGGCAGGGAGAGGGAGAGCAGATGTGGGCGAGGAGGCTGGAAGGTACAGGCAGTTTAGAGGTAGGAGGGTGGGAAGGCTGCCCTTGAAAAGGGTAAGGCTCAGGTGCCTTCATTTTACGGCCCATGAGTTTTCTTATTTAAAGTGCTGTTTTTGAAAACTAGGTTTCAGTTACAAATCAAAAAAAGATGTTTACCCCCACCCAGAAACTTAGCAAACCCTGAGTATTGTCACGTGCTAGTTGCACACTTGGGTGAAATCTGGCAATGGGACATAAGTATTAGAGCACCTTGAATGCTACTCTGGGCAGAGATCTGTCGCTCAGTTCCACACTTTGTACTCCATCTAAATAGGCCTTAGAGGGCACCTCCTCTAAGTCTGTGAGTAGATAACTAGAACTGCATTCATACTTAGTTTATGTAAAAGCTAATGATGCAGTGTGCCTAGTGGGCTGGCAGTAAATGATTCTTATTCCTTGGCAAGTTCGATATTTTTACCAACTTCTGCCTGCCTTTATGACATTGTTCAGTCAGCCTGGAGACAGGAGTGTTAGTGAAATGTTACTGCGGAAGGGAAGTTATCGAGAAATTGGCACCCCGTACACATAATACCCAAATTCTCTGCCTGGTACAAAAGTGAAGTTTTGTTTTTGCTTTTTGCCTCGGCTGCTTGAGTATTAAAAGGCTTGAAGAAGTTTGGTTTGGTGTGTATTTGTGCTGATGAACTCTTGGGGGTTGGACAGCTTAGAAGCAAGAAATACACCTAGCTGTTTTTGGGTTATAACATCCCTTTGAGAGTTGGGAGCCCTGTAGGTTCTGAAGGACAAAGCGGTTAACGGGTGGGGGAAGAGGGAAGCCGTCTTCAGATTCTATGTTAAGTCCTGCCTTATGGTCATCCTGTTAGCGATTCTCTGTAGGGTGAGGACCAGCCTTGGCCCTTCAGAATGTCCTGGAAGTCTTGAAGCAGATTGCTGGGCCATGTGCACCTGTTTCCAGCAAGGTCTCAAGATGGTCATGCTGCTGGGGCTGGGATCTCATGAGAGCACAATGGTAATGTGGGAAAGTCAAATCCTTATTAGTAAGCAGTGGGCATGTAAAGGTCAAAGGTCAGGTAGAGAGCTGGGGGTGTAGCTCAGCGCTACAACACCTGCCTGGCAAGCGTGAGGCCCTGAGTTTGAGTCCAGGTACAAAAAAATCAAGTACAGTACTTAGAGCTGAAGCCATCTGGTGGCAGAATATGGTAATTCAGAACAGAAACATTGGTGTAAATATTGCACTTTATGTTCAAGATTAGCTAGTTTAAGAAAATTTAGATAGTCCAACAGCACAAGTATTTAAGCATTTTAGTTTTCCATATTTTGGGGGAGAAGATGAATTAAATGGATTTTTTTTTCTTTTAAACTTTCTAAGGAATCGCCCTTCTAGAAGCTTTTTGGCATTTTAGAGGCTATATTGTTCTGAAAACAGTCCAGGAGGCATTGTGGCCAAGCATGGTGGTCCACACTTGTAATCCCAGCACTTAAAAGAGTCTGAGCCAGAAGGATCACTGTGAGTTTGAGGCCAGCCTGGGCTACATAGCAAGACCCTGACCAAAAAGGCCCCCCACAACAAGTTATTGTGGAACTACTTAACATTTAATTTCCACTGATAGTGATAAGGGTGTTAAGTTGGTGGTATTTGCATATGGTCCCAGCTACATGGGAAGCTGAGACAGGAGGATTGCGTGAGTGTACCAGTCTGGGTCACAAAAGACTTCATTCCCCCCACAAATTAGGAGAGCCATATTTAAGGCAACAATTACGAGCAGAAGTTGAGAGGTACTGGAGGTGAGAGGGAGGAAAATGCAGCTCAGAGGCTGTGGGTGAGCTGGCAGTTCACCTGGAAAGGAAGGGGTCCTTGTGCTCTGTGGTACAGATGTGAGCTTCCTGGGAGAAGAGCTTGATTCCACTGAAACTTCTTTCCTCTTTCATGAGGAAGCGGTCTAAAATGAGTGGACTTTCGAGTTTGTTTCTTGGTCTGATGGGTAGTTTTGAGGTTCTGGAGCACTGATGGCAAACCTGCACAGCAGGCTGTATTGTTGAATGCACTGAAAGGTTTGCCATCCCTTTTCTAGAGCCACAACCTCTGCTGGCTCCCAGTAACAGAATGGCCCTAGGGAGGGCAAACCCCTGGGCAATGGTCATGTCACCTATGTGATAACACTTCTGAATCCCCCCCCCACCCATAGCAGGGATCAAACTCAGGACATTGCCCTTGCCAGACAGGCACGGCACTGCTGAGCTGCTGCCCTTGGCCCAGCACTTTTGTTTTTTCCACTAGAGGGAATTGAACTCAGGACGTTGCACTTGCCAGGCAGGCATTGTGCCACTGAGCTAAATCCCCAGTCCTCACCAAGGAGTTTCATGGTTCTGGCAGAGATTGCTGGTACCAGTATCCCATTCCTAAAGGGTACCGTGAGGTTCTCAGGTGTGTCATTAGCTTCCTGGGTTAATTAGGGATCCACTGGCAAGTACAGGAACCTGACTTGAACTGGCAGAAGGAATAGTGGAACTTGTTGAGAATAGATCTACTGTGGGAGATTTGCACCAGGGTCTCCCGACAGCGCATCTCGCTCCATCTTTGCTTCACACCCTGATCGTCCCTTTATACAAGCTGAGTTAAGAGGCTGGTGCTCTGAGCCTGGCAGCTGCAGGTCCACCCAGGTGATGGCAGATGTTTAGCTTTTCCCACAGCCCTGTAAGGCAGGAGCTTAATAAGAGTGAGGGGTAATTTCACCAAAAGAGAGATTATGACAAACAAAATGGCCACTATATAAGTACACAAGTTGATGCTTATTTCTTGTGAATATACAGACCCTAACGAGTTGAAAGCACAAAACTCTGAAATATACATATTTATTATGTGCGTTTTATTTTTTGTAGTGATGAGGATGGAACCCAGGGCTTCATCTGGCTAGGCAAGCACTCTGC